AAAAAAAAAAAAAGAATGAAAACACAAACATCACAAGTGCTGTCTAATAATCTGGAACTAATTGGTGGGCACACATGGACACAGAAAGAAGCAAAAATTGCTAGAAATCAAGAAAGAGAGAAGGAGTGCATAGAAAGGGTAAAACCTACCTAATAGGTACAACGAACACTATTCAGGTGATGGGCACACTTACGGCACTGACTCAAGCATTATAAAAGCTTTATGCACATGTACCTACTTAATATTTTGAAACAAACAATTTACTTAGATGTGAGAGAGCATGAAGAAGCGTTAAACTAAACCAAAGCTCTCCTTCCCCAATATTCTTTGTCCCGATGGATTTCCAGGACCTTCCACAATGCCTGGCACAAGGTTGATAGTCAAAAATTGAGCTATTCAGGCTCAGCACCGGTAGCTCAGTGGTTAGGGAGCCAGCCACATGCACCAGGGCTGGTGTCTTTGAACCCAGCCAGGGCCTGCTAAACCACAATGACAACAATAACAAAAAAATAGCCAGGCATTGTGGCGGGCATCTGTGGTCCCAGCTACTAGGGAGGCTGAGGCAAGAGAATAGCTTAAGCCCAATAGTTTGAGGTTGCTTAAGCCCAAGAGTTTGAGGATGCTGTGACTTGTCACACTATGGCACTCTACCAAGGGCGACATAGTGAAACTCTGTCTCAAAAAAAAAAAAAAAATTGAGCTATTCAATAAAACGACGAACTAGCGGTGCCCGTAGCTCAGTGGGTAGGGCGCCAGACACACACACCAGGGCTGGTGGGTTCGAACCCAGCCCAGACTGCTTAAAACATAAAAACAGCTGGGCGTTGTTGCAGGTGCCTATAGTCCCAGCTACTTGGAAGGCTGAGGCAAGAGAATCGCTTAAGCCCAGGAGTTTGAGGTTGCTGTGAGCTGTGACGCCACGGCACTCTACCCAGGACAACGAAGTTAGACTCTGTCTCAAAATAAATAAATAAAAATAAAAATAAAAATATAACGACTGTGGCCCGAAAGGAAATTTTTAAAAGCGGCCTTTTGCTTCAGATAAAGCCAATAGAAACTGTCATATGGTTTTCCAAGCTATTTCACTGCGTAAATGCGGAATGATTTCAAGCAACACGACAGCGAACAATGCAAAAATCCACCTAACTGGGAACATCAACGCTACATGCCCAGTTCCCAGCACCTCCACCTCTCGCAATCCCAGCTTCGTTCCCAGCGTGGGAGACGTGGGGAACCAGACTGGGGACTCCTGAGGCCGGTGCGGGGGAAGGCCGCAAATTCCCAACCCGTCCAGCTTCCCACGCCTCCCTGCGCAAATGGGTCGCCGCTGAGTGTGACGTGAGTGGGTACTTACCCTCATCCGCGTCATACATATTGGCAAACGGTTCCCAAGCTCCTAATTCTTAAAATCACGAACACAGAAAACCGGGAGCGAACCGCCGGCGCCCAAAGAAAGAGCCCAAGTAGTTTCCGCCTCCGGCGTTCCCAGAATACCTTGCGTCGTACCGCAGAGACCGCCCGCAAAGCAACCAGGTAGTATCTGCGCCTGCGCAAAGTGTCGACCAAAAAGTAGAGCCTAGGTTAGTTGCGCATGCGCAAATTGTAGTGCTGGGATACTAATTACTGACAGTTCCTGCAACCTGAAGTGCGCTTTCAGCCGGTAAAAGTTTTTGTGTAGTACTTTTGTCAATGTTACTGCACAGTAATGACACCTGAAAATCTTAATGTTAGGTTATAGTCCAGGCCATGAATCAGCGACGTTCGATGGACTTCTTTTGCATTTCTAAAAACTAGGAAAAACACTAAGTTTTTAGAAATGAGATTTATTAAGGACTGCTTATTCCAGCGCTGGCGCGTTGCAGGAGCCTGAACAAACCGAAGCACTCACTACTCTGCTCAGCCCATCTAGCTCAGTTCAGGTCCTTGGTTTCTTCCGTGCAGCTTTTAGTGGATTTTCGGCCATGTAGTTTTCATCGCGAGAACTCAAGGGACTAGACGGGAGGTGAGCGAGAGTGTGGCGGGTCAGTGACTTTAGTCTCCGGGTTTAACGCGAGTCTCTGGTCACAGGCGTGCGCGGCCCCGCCCCTGCCGGGAGCAGCGCTCCCCATGCTGTCCGCACGCCTGGCGCACACGCTGCTGAGTCCCTTACTGCGGCGATCCGCTCCCACTGTCGGGCGCCATGGCCTCTGGGAGACGCTCCTGGGGAGGCGATGCGCAGCCGCCTGCTCCTCCGGGCCCCCGTTGGACCTGGGACGTGAGCCTCCTCATGGCCTCACAGAGAATGAGAGTTATGAAGGAAGCCCTAATATTCAGGAGCGTTTTCTGTTCCCCGAGTACGTCCTGGAGGCTGAGCCCGCGCCCACCCGGAATGAACTGCTGGAACAACTGCAGCAGCAGCAGCAGCAGAAGGAGCGACCCAGGCGGAAGCAGAAGCCCCGGGTCGGCCGCCCGGCGCACCCTGTCGTGGGGCACCCGGACCCGACGGTGCCGCCCAGCGGCCAGCACTGCTCGGGTTGCGGGGCAGAGCTGCACTGCCAGGACCCCGGGGTGCCCGGCTACCTGCCCAGCGAGAAGTTCCTCCGCGCGGTGCAGGCGGCTGGCGGGCTGGCGCGGACCGTGTGCCAGCGCTGCTGGCTGCTGGTGCACCACCAGCGCGCCCTGCGCCTGCAGGTGAGCCGCGAACAGTACTTGGAGCTGGTGAGCACCGCGCTGCAGCGGCCCGGGCCCGCCCTCGTGCTCTACATGGTGGACCTGCTTGACCTGCCCGACGCCCTGTTGCCCGACTTGCCGGCACTGGTAGGCCCCAAGCAGCTGATCGTGCTGGGGAACAAACTGGACCTGTTGCCCCAGGATGCACCCGGCTACCGGCAGCGGCTCCGGGAGCGGCTGTGGAACGACTGTGCCCGCGCCGGGCTTTTGCTGGCCCCTGGCCACGGAGGGCCACAGCTCCCCAGCCGGGACGGGCCACAGGACAGAGAGGAGAATTCGAATCGGTCGGACAGGTCGCGCACGGTGGTCCGGGACGTGCGTCTGATCAGCGCCAAGACTGGCTATGGAATCGAAGAGTTGATCTCGGCACTTCAGCGCTCCTGGCGCTACCGTGGAGATGTCTACCTGGTGGGAGCCACAAACGCCGGCAAGTCCACTCTCTTTAACACGCTACTGAAGTCCGATTACTGCACCGCCAAGGGCGCGGAGGCCATCGACCGGGCCACCATCTCTTCTTGGCCAGGTGAGTGGTCGTGGCCCAGGCACCTGCTTTGGTCACATTTCTCCTCTGTGTCAGCTTACTGCTTGAAAAAAAATCTATGGGTATATCAGAAATACTAACGTTGCTATTAGTAATTTTCTAATAGATGTATTTATGGAGCGCTTGTATGTGACAGTCGCCAGACACTGGAGATACCCCAAAGAACAAAGCAAAGTTCCTGCTCTGTGGATTTCCCGTAGCTTACTACTTCGTATGATAAGAAAGTCATATTTCGTTTTTACTCTCTGAACTTCCTGTACCCTCCAAACCCATCAACCTTACTCTTCACATCTCGTATGAGACCAGTATATACTATACACGAATAATATTTGATTAATCTATTAATGCAATATTATGTGTAGCTTCGTTGAGAGGGAATGTCAATCTTGTGACTTTAAGAAACTTCTGTAATAGGAAAATAGGTCCTTCTATGATTTGAATTTAAGCAGACAAAACTGTCCCATTTGTTTTGAAACCAGGGTTGAGCTTTGGTAAACTGCCCTTCTCTGTCTTGAACTTTGGTTGAATTATACACAAGAATTGCTTTTATACCGGATAGTAATGGGGTGAAAATGCAAAGAAAATTTTTGAATGCAAGTTCTGGATTAGCCTATGAGCCAGCCTCTGAAGCTATTCCCTTGTTTATAAAGGGCAGGAATAACTTACTTTATCACAGTGCCCGACACGGTGTAAATCCTCGAAAGCGTTTCTTTCCTTTTCTAAAGACATATTTATTCTTTTGTATTTCAGGAACTACGTTAAACCTGCTGAAGTTTCCGATCTGCAACCCAACTCCTTACAGAATGTTTGAAAGGCACAAAAGACTTAAAAAAGATGCAGCGAAAGCTGAGGAGGAGCTTAGTGGGCAAGAACAACATCAGCTTAGTGTCCTGAAAAAGCAAGGCTATGTAGTAGGTAAGCGTTCCGTAGGAAAACCCTCGTTGGTCCTGTGCTGACATTCTTTGTTAGACGAACTGAATGCATCTCTCTGAGGCTAGCCAGTTTCTGGGGGGAAGAGACTACCTTCCTCTTTCCAGAACAAAGAGGCCCTTTGTAGGTAAGGCTACTATTTGGAAACCCATCCCAGTACAGATGGTAAAGATTATTGACACCAGGCAGCAGCTTCAAAGTAGGTTATCCCTTTCCTTGGAAGATCCCTTTAGCTTTCCTTTGCTGACTACAGTTCGATTTCCAACATCTCCTTCTCCCCAGTATACACAGACTGCCAGGTGTGGTGGTGCGTGCCAATATCCCCAGCTGCCCATAGTCTCAGCTATTCAGGAGGCTGAGAAGGATCCCATGACCGCAGGAGCTCCATTCGGCAGTGAGCTATGATCAGGCCACTGCACTGCAGCCTGAGTGACAGAGAGACCCTGTCTCTAAAAATTTAAATAGGTCAGGCATAGTGGCTCACACCTTTAATCCCAGAACTTTGGGAGGCCAAGGCAGGAAGATCACTTGAGGCCAGGAGTTCAAGACCAGCCTGAGCAATTTAGGAAGGACTAGTAAATAAATGAATGAATGAATTGAATGTACACAGCCAGCCACATTTTTAATCAGTGCAAGAGTCTGGCTCCCGCTGCCTTTGAGGAAAAAAAAGTATCATTGTAGTGTCACTTCCATACACTATAGTTGGTCTTAGTAACTTGTTGGAGACAAACATGTAATATATGTCTGTAGTCAAAAGCATTAGAAGAATGACTAATGACCTTAATGTAACTTGTTCTAGGAAGAGTTGGAAGAACATTCTTGTATTCCGAAGAACAGAAGGATGAAGCTGCCTTTGACTTTGATACTGATTCACTTGCGTTTGACATGGAAAATGAACCCGTTATAGTTGAACCCAAATCCACCAAACAAATAGAATTGACTGCACAAGATGTGAGGGATGCCCACTGGTTTTATGATACACCGGGAATCACAAAAGAAAATTGTGTACGTATTTGGTTTCTTTTAGAGATGTTTACTTTCAATTATATAAGTACTCCTATGTTAATTGCCAGAAAATGTGAAAAGAGGTGTAGTTCCTTTTAGACTCAGTCCTAATTCATTCATAAAAGCAGCTGAGAGGTGAATCTTTATGCCATCAAGTTCTTTATCTCATTTAGTAGACTTCACTGCGAATAACTGGCTTGTTTTATCATTGTGGTTATTTCATTAGGTAGACATTTACAGAATTTTTTTTGTTATTTTGAGACAGTCTCACTCTGTCGCCCTGGGGTTGAACACCGTGGCATCATAGCTCACAGCAACCTCAAACTCCTGGGCTCAAGCAATCCTCTTATCTCAGCCTCCCAAGTATCTGGGACTACAGGCACCTGCCACAACTCCCAGCTAATTTTTCTATTTTTAGTAGAGACAGGGTTTCGCTCTTGCTGAGCCTGGTCTCAAACTCCCAAGCTCAAGGGATCCCACCCGCCTCTGCCTTTCAACGTGCTAATTCTAACATTATGTTGGAAGGAGCCCATAACTCTCACGGCAGCCTGGCTCCCTGGTCCACACTGGAATTCCTTCTATAAGATCCCCCTGCAGGTTAGGCACAGTGGCTCATGCCTATAATCCTAGCACTCTGGGAGGCCAAGGCGGGTGGATAGCCTGAGCTCATGGGTTCAAGACCAGCCTGAACCAGAGTGAGACTCCATCTCTACTAAAAATATAAAGAAGAAAAGAAAACTGAGGCAAGAGAACCAGATGAGCCCAGGAGTTGGAGGTTACTATGAGCTGTGATGCCCCAACACTCTGCCAAGGGCAATAAACTAAGACTCAGACTCTGTCTCTTAAAAAAGTAAATAAATAAATAAGTTATCTTAAAAGGGGCTAAAAAAGGCCAGGCACAGTGGCTTACACCTGTAATCCTAGCACTTGGGGAGGCTAAAACAAGTGGATCACTTGAGCTCAGGAGATGGAGACCAGCCTGAACCAGAATAAGACCTCGTCTCTCTAAAAATATCTGGGAATTGTGGCAGGCACGTGTAGCCCCAGCTACTTGGGAGGCTGAGGCAGGAGGATCGATTGAGCCCAATCAAGAATTTGAGGTTGCTGTGAGCTATGACATCACAGCACTCTACCAAGGGCAACAAAGTGAGACTCTGTCTCACTAATAGTAATAGGTCTTGGGCAGCACCTGTGACTCAATGAGTAGGACACTGGCCCCATATACCGAGGGTGGTGTGTTCAAACCTGGCCTCTGCCAAACTACAACAAAAAAAAATAGCCAGGCATTTTGGCTATTTTTGGTCCCTGTGGTCCTAACTACTGGGAGGCTGAGGCAAGAGAATTGCCTAAGCCCAGGAGTTGGAGGTTGCTGTGAGCTGTGACGCCACAGTGCTCTACCAAGGGTGACAAAGTGAGACTCTGTCTCTAAAAAAGTAAAAATAGGCTCAGCGCCTGTGGCTCAAGCGGCTAAGGCGCCAGCCACATAGACCTAAGGTGGCGGGTTCGAACCAGCCTGGGCCCGTCAAACAACAATAATGGCTGCAAACAAAAAATAGCTGGGCATTGTGGCGGGCGCCTGTGGTCCCAGCTACTTGGGAGGCTGAGGCAGGAGACTCGCTTAAGCCCAGGAGTTGGAGGTTGCTGTGAGCAGTGAAGCCATAGCACTCTACCCAGGGGGACAGCTTGAGGCTCTGTCTCAAAAAAAAATAAAAATAAAAATAAATTAAAAATAATAATAATAGGTTTCTTTGACCTATGACTGTTAAAAATTTTTTCAAGTAATTCTCTAAACTTTCTGCCACTTGCTTCACAGATTTTAAATCTTCTAACAGAAGAAGAAGTAAAGATTGTTCTGCCAACACATTCCATTGTTCCAAGAACTTTCGTGCTCAAACCAGGAATGGTTCTCTTTTTGGGTGCTCTAGGCCGAATTGATTTCCTGCAGGTAAGGATAGTCTGGACCAGGCGTCCTCAAACTATGGCCCACGGGCCACATGCGGCCCGCCAAGGACATTTATCCGGCCCGCCAGGTGTTTTTGCCGCCGCTGCCTGTCCTGCTTAGCAGCCAACTCATCCTGGGGCCTGCAGTCTGGCCCTCCAGCAGTCTGAGGGACAGTGAGCTGGCCCCCTATTTAAAAAATTTGAGGACCCCGGTCTGTACCATTAACAACTGTTTACTCCAGTGAGATGTTGAATGCCCCATACAGTGTGGCACTGAAGATACTGTTTCTATCTTCTGGTTTCATTTCACTTGGAAATCATAGATGAAACCTTCAGGTACAGCGTTCATATGTATTAAATTAATTCCATGCTTCTTTATATCCCATGATATGTTTGTTTTTATATATATACCGTCTAGTGTTCATTTACATAGCATCTGGGGATTTTGGAGCGTCTATAGAATTTCTCTTCATTTTACCAAAGTGAAGAGAAAAAGGGAAAATGAAACATGAATACGTCCAGCAATTTGCAGGCCATTACTGTCACACATTGTTGGGTTTTGTGTTTATTCATATTTTGTTGGAAATTTGGCCTTACATGCTTAGAACTTGTACATACTTCATTAAAGCCTATAAAATGTAAATATTTTAAACCTAACTTTACACAGAGACAGTTAAGCGGACAACATTTCCTTTTTATTATATTTTATTTTTATTTTTATTTTTTTGGCCAGGGCTGGGTTTGAACCCACCACCTCCAGCACATGGCGCCGGCGCCCTACCCTTTTGAGCCACAGGCGCTGCCCTCCTTTTTGTTTTTAATAAGAGACATTGTTTTTTCTTCATTTGTATCAACCAGTCTGTAGAAGTCAAGAGTTGAACGTGAACTTCTGGATTGCACTGCTTCCATATCGTGCCCCTTTCTTGACACGTTAGTGTGATTTGACTACAGCTGCTGCCGTACCAGCACTTACAAAGGGAACTTGATTTGGTGTTTGTTCTTGTTTTGTTAACCAATTGCACCTTGTCAGAGGCAGGTTTTCCAAGCTTTTCACCATAGAAAATAACTTCTTCCTTTCCTAAGGGCAACCAGTCAGCCTGGTTTACGGTTGTGGCTTCCAACCTCCTCCCGGTGCACATCACTTCCTTGGACAAGGCAGATGGTGTGTATGAGAAGCAGGCGGGTCACACGTTACTGCAGGTAAGGCAGCACGCCGACTGCATGGTTACCGTTAGTGTGTATACACCGTGACAGTCCCGTGGGCTTTGTTGGACAGAACCACCAGTGAAGAAGTCAGCTAGCACTCCTCTCACCTCACTGTGTCTGAGGATTCTGGCTATAAAGGGAAATGGCTCCATATGAACAGGGATGTTGATCGGGACTAATCCCGAATAGCCACAGAGCTGTGCATTCTCTCGACTTCACAGACAAACATGGTAGCCACTACCAGGTGGTTCTCTAAATTTAAATACACACATACGACTTCACACTTAATAAAATTTCCCAGGCACAGTGGCATTTACCTGTAGTCCCAGCTGCTCAGGACACTGAAGCCGGAGGATCATTTGAACCCAGTAGTTTGAGGCTGCAGTGGGCTATGATCATGCCTATAAAAAACCACTGTATTCAACCCTGGGCAACAGAGCAATGCTCTGTCTCTAATAGAAAAATAATTTTAGGCTCAGTGCCTGTAGCTCAGCAGCTAGGGCACCAGCCACATACACCAGAGCTGGCAGGTTTGAATCTAGCCTGGGCCTGCCAAACAATGACAACTACAACAAAAAACTAGCCGGGTGTTGTGGCAGGCGCCTGTAGTCCCAGTTACTTGGGAGGCTGAGGCAAGACAATAGCTTAGGCCCAACAGTTTGAGGTTGCTGTGAGCTGTGATGCCACGGTACTCTACCCGGGGCAACAGCTTGAGACTCTGTCTCAAAAAAAGAAAAAAAATAAATAGAGCAGCGCCTGTGGCTCAGTAAGTGGGGCACTGGCCCCATGTACCAAGGGTGGCAGGTTCAAATCCAGCCCCAGCCAAGTAATGAAAAAAAAAAATAGCTGGGCATTGTGGCGGGCACCTATGGTCCCAGCTATTTGGGAGGCTGAAGCAAGAGAATTGCCTAAGCCCAGGAGTTGGAGGTTGCTGCGAGCTGTGACAACACGGCACTCTACCACTCTACCGAGGGTGATAAAGTAAGGCTCTGTCTCAAGAAAAAAAAGAAAAAGAAAGAAAATAAATAAATAAAAGAAAATTTTAACAATTAAAAAAAAATAGCCAAAGTGAGACCTTGTCTCTAAAAAATATCTGGGTGTTGTAGCAGGTGCCTGTAGTCCCAGCTACTTGGGAGGCTAAGGCAAGAGGATTGCTTAAGCCCAAGAGTTTGAGGTTACTGTGAGCTATGACACCATGGCACTCTACCAAGGGTGACAAAGTAAGACTCTGTCTCAAAAAAATATATATATTTAAAGATTAAATAAAATTTAAAATGTGATTTCTTAGTAACAGTAGTCACATTTTAAGTGCCCAATAGCAACATTGTTACAAAAAGTTGTAGTAGACGATTCTGAGCAAAGAGAAGTTAGAGATTTTGTCAAAGCTGGGGGCTGCTACTGGAGTCTAGTGAGTGGAAGCACAGCTGGTGCTAACCGCTTTGCATTGCGAAGGACAACCTTTCTCAGCAAAAAGTGATCTGGTCCACAATGCAGTAGTGCTGAGAAGCCCTTCTTTAATCAGAAAAGCTCTCTTCCTAGGTGCTTAATCCCAGATACATATTTACAGATTATTCCACCTCCGCTCTCCTGCTCTACTGGCTCCTTGAAAACCCCACTCTAGAGAGATCTGTTTAGATATACAGTACATCACATTATTCTTTTTTTTATTCTTTCATTTGTTTGTTTTTTGAGACAGAGTTTTCACTTGTCGCCCTCAATAGAGTGCTCTGGCGTCACAGCTCACAGCAACCGCAAACTCTTGGGCTCGATTCTCTTGTCTCAGCCTCCACAGTAGCATAGGCGCCCGCCACAATGTCTGGCTATTTTTAGAGACAGGGTCTCACTCTTGCTCAGGCTGATCTCAAACCTGTGAGCTCAGGCAATCCACCCGCCTTGTCCTCCCAGAATGCTAGGATTACAGGTGTGAGCAACTGCGCCCGGCCTCTATTCTTATTTTCTCTCCTGCTTATAATCCTCAATAGTTCCCCATTACCAGGGGAGAAGTATAAACTGCTGACAGCCTCCTCGTTTACACACACACACCCACACTCACACTCTCTCTCTGTCTCTCACACACACACACACAACATACTCTGGACAGTTAAACTACCATCCTCATAGTTCTTTTTCCAGTTTTTTCTGTATCTGCGCTGACCCAGAGTATCTTCCCACTGAGTAAATTCAACCCACTTCTCAAAATCACATTTCTTCATTACCGTTTTCCTCCACCAGGGACATGACTCCTCCCTGCGCAGCCAAACCTGCATACTTACAGACGCCTGACAGCACGTCTCTTACCCTGTATTTGTTTACATCTTTTTTATCCCTCTGACCTTCTAGGGGACAGAGACCAGATTGTAAAATAGATCTTTGTGTCCCTAGTACTCATCACAGGAGAAACTTTATTAATGATAATGAATACGTAAATTTCACCTAGTTACTTCTGATTCATTCATGGCAACATATAAACAAGAGATCTAAACCTGATCCACTGAACCCAGTACATAGACCTTTATCTCATAAGGAGCGGGGACTGATCTTCATGGCCGTGCCTACAAGAACTAAGGTATTTAGAAGGATCTTGCTTAGCTGCCCAACATCTCTCTATGCAAAGGCCCGTAAAGACGGTAATAAAGCACAGTCGACCTGTCAGGCAGATGCCAGGCAGAAGCCCAGCCTGTGGCCCCCCCGGCCCCGGGGCTGTAGGCTTCACCTTATTACAGAGCGCCTGGGCCTTTCATTTGACCCTAGAAGTGATTTGAGGTTTTTCAGCCGTTGCATGTTTATAAGGATTTTATTCTTGATCCCTACATGGAATTATCAGTGATGTACTTAATATTAGAGTTAGAGGAAATTTAATCTGAACTTCCCAAAATCTTTCTTTCATTTAACTGGAAGGTTCCAATGGGTGGGAAAGAGCGAATGGCAGGCTTTCCTTCTCTCGTTGCTGAAGACATCATGTTACAAGAAGGACTCGGGGAATCCGAAGCAGTTGCTGACATCAAGTTTTCCTCCGCAGGTAATTTTGCCCCAAGCATTTTTTCTTTTTTTCCTTTTTTTTTTTTCTGAGATAGGGTCCAGTCTTACTCTGTTGCCCAGGCTATATAGGCAGTAGCACTGTCATAGCTCACTGCAACCGTGAACTCCCGGGCTCAAGTGTTATTATGCCTCGGCCTCTGAGCCACCTTGCCAGGCCCCAAGCACTTTTTTTTTTTTTTTTTGAGAAAGAATCTCAGGCTATCACCCTGGGTAGAGGGCTCTGGTATCACAGCTCACAGCAACCTCCAACTCTTGCACTTAAGTCATTCTCTTGCTTCAGCCTCCGAAGTAGCAGGGACTACAGGCGCCCGCCATAATGCCAGGCTGTTTTTTTATTGCAGTTGTCATTGTTGTTTTAACAGGCCCGGGCTGGGTTCAAACCCACCAGCCCCGGTTTATGTGGCCAGTGCCCTACCCACTGAGCTACGGGTACCACCCTGTCCCAAGCACTTTTTAAAGAATGGATAAAGTAGACTTACTGACTTGAGTATATTTTTATAGAAATGTGCCTTAACTGATATAAGCTGACTATTTTAAGGCATACCTACTAGTTTATTCATAAAATACAACTTATTCTGAAAATAAATTTGTACTTTTCACAAATGCCTTATGTACTTTTTTAAAAATAGATTGAAGCCAGACATGCTGGTGCTCACCCATAGTCCCTCCTCCTGACATGTGAGGATCCTTGAGCCCAAGAGTTTGAGGCCAGCCTGGACAACATAGTGAGACCCCATCATTAAAAAATTTAAAACTTAGCCCGGCATTGACGTAGATGCCTGTACTAATTCAGCTACTCAGGAGGCTGAGCAGGAGTGTCACTTAAGCCCAAGAGTTCAAGGCTGTAGCAAGCTATGATCATGTTACCTCACTCTAGCCTGGGCAACACAGTGAGACCCTATCTATCTCTTAAAAAAAAAAAAAAGAAGAAAAGTAGACAGGTGTGGTGGCTCGTGCTTATAATCCTAGCACCCTGCAAAGCCAAGGCAGGTGGATTCCCTGAGCTCACAGGTTCAAGACCAGCCTGAGTCAAAGCAAGATCCCATCTCTAAAAATAGCCAGGCAGGCTCGGCACCCATAGCACAGTGGCTGGCGGGTTCAAGCCCAGCCCAGGCCAGCTAAACAACAATGACAACTACAACAAGAAAATAGACGGGCCTTGTGACGGACACCTGTAGTCTCAGCTACTTGGGAGGCTGAGGCAAGATAATCGCTTAAGCCCAAGAGTTTAAGGTTGCTGTGAGCTGTGACACCACGGCACTCTAAGGGCAACATAGTGAGACTCTGTCTCAAAAAATTAAAAAAATAAAAATAGCCAGGCATTGCGGTGGGCACCTGTAGTCCCAGCTACTTGGGAGGCTAAGGCAAGAGAATCACTTGAGCCCAGGAGTTGGAGGTTGCTGTGAGCTGTGATGCCACGGCCCTCTACCAAGGGCAACAAAGTGAGGCTCTGTCTCAAAAAAAAAAAAAAAAGAACAAGAATGAAAGAGCTGTAGCCTCCTCTGTTGAGCTTTGGTCTGACTGTTAAAAGCATTTTGTGTTCTGTCACTTGTGTAGGTTGGGTTGCAGTAACACCTCAGATGAAGGACAGACTGCATCTCCGAGGCTACACACCTCGAGGGACAGTTCTGACAGTCCGGCCCCCTCTCTTGCCCCATATCGTTAACATCAAAGGACAGCGCATCAAGAAAAGTGTGGCCTATAAAACCAAGAAGCCTCCTTCCCTTGTGTATAATCTGCAGAAGAAGAAAAGATAAATGTCTGAGGCTGACTTTGTTCCTGCTGGATATTAACCATATCGAACATAACAAGACACATTGATATATTAAATATGGCTATAATAAAATTCCACCCATTTAAAGATCTTAACAGTTGACCTTTTTAAACTAATCAGGACTGTGCCTATTCATATTGGACTGAGCTTATAAATACAGGTTATATTTATTTTTTTTTTGTGGGGGAGACAAAAGTCTAACTGTGTCACCCTTGGTAGAGTGCTATGGCATCACAGCTCACAGCAACCTCAAACTCTTGGGTGTAAGCCATTCTCTTGCCTCAGCCTCCCAAGTAGCTGGGACTACAGACACCTGCCACAACACCCAACTATTTTCTTACTGCAGTTGTCATTGTTGTTTAGCTGGCCCCGGGCGGTCTTGACCCCGCCTTGAACCGGCCAGCCTCGGTGCAGGTAGCTGGCACTGTAACCCCTGTGCTACAGGTGCAGAGCCCAGGTTATATTTCTTATAGGATATGCTTATGGTATGTATCTGTGATCCATATAAAGAAAGCCTGGGGCGGCACCTGGGGCTCAAGGAGTAGGGCACCAGCCCCATATGCCAGAGGTGACAGGTTCAAACCCAGCCCTGGCCAAAAATTGCAACAACAACAAAAAAAGCTGATATATGCAAGTTTCTCCCACTGCTATTTTTTTTTTTTTTGGAGACCAGATGTCATTTCTGTCATTCAGAGTCTACGGTTGACAGGGCAAGTTAACAGTCACATGAAAAAAATAATACATTGGCTGATAAGTAAAAGTGAATAGTCATCCAAGGACACAGCTGGTAGAACATTCTGTGGCTTCCATCTGTAGGTCTAAGGTGGTTTTCCAAGTCATCATCCTTTCCCAGCAAGTGTGAAGGGGAAAGAGGGCAGCACCTGTGGCTCAGTGAGTAGGGCACCAGCACCATACACCAAGGGTGATGGATTCAAACCCGGCCCTGGCCAAACTACAACAAAAAATAGCCAGGCATTGTGGCAGGTGCCTGTGGTCCCAGCTACTCAGGAGGCTGAGATAAGAGGATCACCTAAGCCCAGGAGTTGGAGGTTGCTGTGAGCTGTGACACCACTACCAAGGGTGATAAGGTGAGACTCTGTCTCTACAAAAACAAAACAAGGGGAAAGAGTGGAGAGCAAGCAGCTTCCCTATTTAAAAGGGGGAAAGCTGAGTGTTACACACCTTGGATTACACAGTCTGTTGGTAAATGTCACGTGGCCACACCCACCCACAAGGAAACTGGGAAGTAAAGGAGAAAATGCGAACTGTTCAGACTCTTACTGAGAAGGGAAGAACAGATACTGAGAACAAGTAGAACTTCACCTACCACAATTTAACAGTGTCTAAGAATCTTACATAAAGATGTGTGTTTCCAGTATCTGGAGTCTACAACCAGGAGAGCACTTAGCACCCATTTTATTAACATTGGCCTGTCTATACCTATACAACATGGATTAATCCCATCAGGCATCCTCAAACTACAGCCCGCGGGCCACATGCAGCCTGCCTAGGACATTTATCCGGCCCGCCGAGTGTTTTTGCCGTTGCTGCCTGTCCTGCTTAGCAGCCAACTCGTCCCGGGGCCCACAGTCCGGCCCTCCAACGGTCTGAGGGACAGCGAACTGGCCCCCTGTTTAAAATGTTTGAGGACCCCTGGATCAGATGGTTTTACTTTTGGTTATTTCTACATAAGTATTACTACAGCTGTGTAGTAATTGGTGAGTCTCAGATTGTAACACTGAGATAAATGCCGGTGGGTTAAGCTGGGCTGATATGGAGTTAGATCCGTGTCTTGATGGACCCGTGTTCTCTCCCTACATGTGGAAGCCCTGTGTACTTCACACTCTCCCTTTCTTCGAAGTCTCCTTACACTAAATATGATGAATTTTTTAAGATGCAAATTAATACAACTTTTTTTTTCCTGCAGTTTTTGGCCGGGGCGGGGTTTGGACCTGCCCCTTGGTATATGGGGCCGGTGCCCTACTCCTTGGCTGCCTAGATGCAACTTACGACTTTGAAAATCTCAGTTTCATAGTGTTTCAAAGGGTAGTATAGTACTGCCGGTACGTCGGGGGAGGTGTTCCTCGTGTGTAAAACCGTTCGGCCTGGATGGCATCCCTCAGCCCCAGACACTGAAGGCCAGTAGCACCTCCCTCTGCCCATCAGTCATTACAACTGAAAAGTACTCCAAGCTTTCCCGCTGCACCTCTAGAGGGCAGTAGTTCCCAAGTTGAGAAGATCAATTGGCGTTTTTAGGTTTCATTGGCAGGTTTTTTGGAGGGAATGAAATACCATTAATTTTACTACAAGTTGAAATTGTGGGCCAAGCACAATGGCTCATGCCTTTAATCCCAGCATTTTGGGAGGCCAAGACAGGAGGATCACCTGAGGCCAGGAGTTCAAGACCAGCATAGGCAACGTAGCAGAGACCCTGTCTCTACATAAAAATTTTAAAAACTTGGGCAGCACCTGTGGCTCAGTGAGTAGGGTACCAGCCCCATATACCGAGGGTGGTGGGGTTCAAACCCGGCCCTGTCCAAACTGCAAACAAAAAATATCCAGGCGTTGTGGCAGCCACCTGTAGTCCTAGCTACTTGGGAGACTGAGGCAAGAGAATCGCCTAAGCCTAAGAGCTAGAGGTTGCTGTGAGCTGTGACGTCACAGCACTCTACCCAGGGCAACATTTTATAAACTTAGCCAGGTATGGTAGTATGCACATGTGGCCCCAGCTACTCCACAAGTTGAGGCAAGAGGATCTCCTGAGCCCAGGAGTTGGAAGTTACAGTGAGTCATGATCACAGAACTGCACTCCAGCCTGGGGAACAGAAGAGGACCCTGTCTCTCAAAAAAAAAATAAATACTGTAGTCTTTATATTTCTATCCGTAGTTGAAAACAGGAATTCACAGTTTAGCACTTAGGCCTGAATCTTTTTTTTCCCCCCTTTAAATAGAGACAAGGTGTCACTCATTGCCCAGGCTAGAGTGCAGTGGTGCAGTCATGGCTAACTGTGACCCTGAACTCTTGGGCTAAAGCAATCCTCTCACCTCTGTGGCAGCTGGGGCTACAGACACACACCATCACAGCCAGCCGGAATCTATTTAGATAGCATGGTTTTTAATTTGTGGAGAAGTAAAATAAACAACTTACAGAAATATATTTTAGAAAACAAAACATTCCTTATGTATTCTCAGTTCATATTCTCAGGACACCGTAACCTCTAAAATTCAATGGTTTTGTTGCATAAAGCTTGACTCGGGCATATCTAAAAGTGTTCCAAGATAACTGGCCAGGAGTTTCAAACAGCGCATTTACTAAGTAAGTTTTAGTCTCCTCGGGTGTTTCAGTTAATCTCCTTGGGTCTTCATTTTCTCCCCTAGGAAATGAGGGAATTACACTTGATTTTTCTCCTGTTAGAGTTCTCCTTCCTCACATCTTCTGATTCTGTGTAAAAACAGGCAAGGAAAAAAGCCTACAAGGGTAAGAATATATTAGATGTAAAAGATCTAGAATTAGTTGAGGACGTCTGCTGGGATCTGGTATTTATTTCATATTCCTCCTCCTCCATGAAGCTGGCATCACTGCTGGACTATTCAAGTGCTCCACTGGGGATTGTGCTTCCAGGAAGTTCCATTACTGTGTTGGGTTCCAAGCGTTAGTCACTTTGCTGGTGCAGTCATGCATTGCTTAGTGACAGGGACACACTCTGAGCAGTGAGTCATCAGGCAATGTCATCCTGGTGCAAACATCACGGGGGGCACTTACACAGACCTGGATGGCGTAGTCCACGGCACAACCAGGCTGTGCGGTCTGAGGCTGCAAACCTGTCTGGCCTATTTCTATGCTGAATTCTGTGGGCAACTAGAACAAATCTCTAGGCCATAGTTTTTCAGCTCCATTAGTCTCTCAGGATCACTGTTGGATATTGGGTCTGTTGCTGACCAAAATGTGACAGGGCACAACAACTGCACTTCTTAATCCATGGATCTCTTTATGAAGACGTCTCTTGAATCAGCAACCATTTACACTAAGACAGGATGCGGGAGTCTGAGGTCCTTTCAAGAAGAAATTAATGGCAACGTGTCAGGACAATGCTGTCACTTCCATAGAACAAAGAGGTGGTTTTATTTTATTTATTTATTTATTTATTTATTTTTGGAGACAGAGCCTCAAGCTGGCACCCTGGGTAGAGTGCTGTGGCATCATAGCTCATAGCAACCTCCAACTCCTGGGCTCAAGCGATTCTCCTGCCTCTGCCTCCCAAGTAGCTGGGACCACAGGTGCCCATACAACACCCGGCTGTTTTTTGGTTGCAGCCGTTGTTGTTTGGCGGGCCCAGGCTGGATTCGAACCCACCAGCTCAGGTGTATGTGGCTGGCTCCTTAGCCGCTTGAGCCACAGGCACCGAGCCAAAGAGGTGGTTTTAAATTTCTAGAAAACAGCTAAGCAAGTTTATTAACTAGATGGTCTGCCTGACTCTGCAGTTCTGTGGGGTTAAGCATGCCACCTCTTTCGTACTCAAAAATTAAGGATGTGCCATCAAAGCACTTCTGGGCCCCTAGGTGATATTAGGCTCAAAGTTTTATTTTAAAACATTCTATACCTACCTCTGCGTTTTCCCCCCTGTAAAATAACAGCATCTTCTTCAAAGTGGTTGAGATAAACTGAAGTTGCGCCAGAGTTTGCATTTTTAGTCAACAAAGGCCAAGCCCAACCCATCACTGGGGCTTCACTGTGCCGTTCCAAGTCCAGATCTCTTTGTTATCGGCGATATTCACTTCCCATGACAACCAAGGAGAAATGGGGCAGAGATGCCATCTCGTGTGCCTGCGTGGCTTGACCAGACACTTGTTGCAAAATGGAGAGCGGTGCTGGTTGCCTGCGGATGACTAACGTCACAGCGCTCCAGCGGTGTCAGCCGTGACAGAGTCACCACTGCCCCACGGAGCAGCACCAGGCACACAAGCTGAGGCAGGCTGCTCCACAGACAGCCTCTGATCCTCTACCCTGGCTTCCCTCCCACTTGGCTGCATCACGGAGCAATGGAATCATTTCCATTCTTTCTTGGGCTGTGCCATTTTCTCT